GTTTCCGCGGCACAGTCAGAAGGAAGGGGAATTGGCGTACATGGCAGATGTCATGATGCATGTTTTGGACGCCTTTAAGAAGTTCACCGACGACTACCTGACGAAGGAGCGCTTGGAATCGACAGGGCACAATCTCGTAGACCAGGCATACCGCGCCAATGGGTTCAACGATATGGGCATTCTGGAATTCGCAAAAACTCAACACAAAATGTTAACGTGCGTACAAGTACATGTTTTCTGGCCGTGAGAGGTGCGCAATGCTGACGGCGTTTCTAGCAATATGAAGGAAGAGATCAACAGTAGTGCGGGCAATCTGAAGACTATCAGAGATCGCGCAGCTCCACCACACCAACACAAATATCCTCCAGAGTACAGACAGCACCCTTTGGCTTCGGATTCCAGCTCTAGGTCGTCATTTTCCGTTCTAGGATCGAGCTCGACAACGGGGTTCTCTGCGGTGGGATCTACGGCATCGTTTTCTGATAGCTCACGTACTTACCATCCGTCTGATGGTGACAGACGATCAACAAGCCCACCATCTCCACATGACGAGGAAGAGGAGGAGGATGACGATGTCTTGGATGCGGACGACTCGGACGACAGGAACCCGAATCGCGTGGATATGGACTCTCTTCGACACAGAGGCAAGGGCGAGTATAGGTGCCCTTACTGGAGGACGTGCCAAAAAGGGGGTCAAAATATCAATGGAGGACCCAAAATCTTTCATCGGAACTGCATGTACAGGTATGACGGCTGATTCCATCTCTGAGTTCAACGCTAACATGAGCAGGCAACACTTGCAGAAGCATTCCAAACCTCACAAGTGCCAACTACCAGGGTGTCCAAATAAGGACGGGTTCGCCAGGAAGGACCAATTAGTTCGACATCAGCAAAATGTAAAGCACGATCAGCCCTTACCATTGCCTGGGCCTCGAAGGTAGTATTGCATCTAAGCTCATGAAATAGTCTGCAGCCGGGTTGAATCCCGGGTCAGCAACCGGGACGACATCCGGGACAGGCAGGGCGAATTCCATTTACAGCACGATATGATGATTGGGGGCAACAGCGGTTTTTTCTCTTTGTTTCTTGCTTGGTATAAGGGACAAGCATTCCACGGCGTTGGGCTAGCACAAAGTACCATTACTCTCATGTTGGCAGGGGTCAGCGACAGTCATTTTGGATTGGGATGCGCACACGATGCGCCTTGCATGGGGGAACTGGTTGGTCAGAACAGTTTGGTTCTTGACTATTGAGTGGTTGGCTGCTGTATGAGAGTACCCTAGGGATTAGCCTACCTATGAAAAATTGGCACAGAAAATACGTGCACAAAGTATTACGGACCACGATCGATGTTGGTTACCAAATATCATTTTGTTGGCAAAGAACCCATGCCTATTGGACAGCTCTCTGTATCCTTGCGCTGCGCCGTCTTTCGAAGAAAACTCGGAAGAGTCCAACAAACAGCGAACGGAGGAAACGTTTCAGTCGGCAACATCTGCAGGTGATGCCGATTGGTAATTCTTCGGGCTTTGCGGTGTGCCAGTGAAACATGGACAATCTCATGCGGGCGCCATCAAAGATGACAGTCGAGAGGCATTGGCCAAGGTTGTTGCGCGCTCTCTACGGATACAAACGAACAGTAGGTGGGTGACATGCCTGCCGATTAAACCTGGTCGATACTGACTCATTGAGGGAGAGTCGTCGACGTCGACGTTTTGTATCATTTTGGATTACCAGGTATCAATTAGTTTACGCTTACTGCGGAATCCTTCAATGCTTCAAGACGGGGACTGGCATACGTAAACAAGAAGGGAAAGAGCGGGCGTATTCGTACTAACGGCATGAGATGCCAGGACGTGGACCGGCAAGACGGCTCAGAACCTGGGAAGGGCTGGGAAGGAAAAAAAAGAGGGAAGGGGACACACTCAAACTAAGCGAGAGGTGTGCCGTGGGCGTCAGCTTTGTGTGTGTGTGTGTGTGTGCCTCCCCCGTTTGTGAGTTCTGGACCTTGCAGGCTTGGGGTGGGCAGGCAAGGCAAGGCAGGGAAAAGGGCTGGCTTGCTGTGGGAAGGGCTACGGAGGCATGCCTGCCTGTCACTGTCTGTCATCACTGATCAGATGTCGTGTCGTACGGGAAGGACGCTGGCGAAGCTGGTGCAACAACACCTCGTGGGCAGATCGTCTCCCGAAGGAGATGTGCGAAAAAAAAAAAAAAAAAAAAAAGGTCTGGTCACTACAGGTGTTTCTGAACCCTTACATGGCGAACCGCTTCTTCGCATGCAATTTACACCTGCACTTCATCTACAAGCGATTGGACACGGGACGGCGGCAGAGCGTCTATGATGGGAGGGGGTTTCACGAGGTGATTGCCTCACTTCTGACATGCGCCTTTTTCTCGAAGGGGTTGGAGATATACCCTACCTTGATGTCAGATCATTGATGGAGAGGGGGGGGGGGGAATATACGAGAATGACAGACGCCGCAGCGAGAAAGAGGCAAATGCAGCAAACGTGTAAGGGAAACACAATGCACCAGGTAAGAGAGAGACAGAGAGACAGAAGTGTGTGAGTTCCCAAGTTGGTTGGGAAGATACTTTTTTTTACACACTAGCGCGGGGAGGGGCAGAGAGATGATGGGTAGCGCACGCAGCAAGAGTGCCCAGGCTTGACCATGAATTTTTGATGGAACATGGTATTTTCTAATGAGCCTGTCTGCGAACCCGTATCTCGAAAATCGACCATGCTGACGGAAGCGAATTCCGGTAGGGATGCAGTCGATCGAGTTGGGGTGCCCCTAGTTAGAAGCGCGCCAGAGAACTGAGAGAGTATTTTTCTCGGCGTTTGATGAAGAAGAGGAGAGAAACTGCAAGAGACCACAAAGGAGAGAGACAGAAAGAGAGAGAGAGAGACGAAGAAAGAGGAAGACTGAGAGATTGAAAGCGAGAGAGCAAGGGATTGACCAACAAGTCCTTTCGATTGGATGCTACGGCAAGAAGACCGCTTCAACAGATAGCTGGAACATGGCGCATTCTAGGAAATACGGTCAGGCAGCGAACTGATACTACTCGGTAGGTGAGGTAATTGAACCCAAGACCACACCCAAAAACAACGGTAAAAGCAACGAGAAAACGGCCAGTCCATCCGGAAGGGTAGCAATGTCCGGAAAGAGTCTTGAATTTGTTTTGTGTATGCAACTCGCAAGTTTGCTATCTATACACCCATCGCTACTGGCCTTACTCGAGACTACATCGAACAAATGAGTGAGAGCTCTTGGCTGGTATGAGAGGAGAGGCAGTAATAATGGATGGACTGCCATCTCCATGCGAGGGTAGACTTGCAAGGAGGAACGACCCCCACGTGGACTGTTTTTGGATGGAGTTGTTGAGTATCCATCCGTACGAATCGCCCAACGCTGGATTCGTCGTGACCTGCGTTAGTGATATGGAGAATCTTCAAGGGTTGTTGTCCCGCCCTAGGCGTTTCCTGGCGTCTTTAGCATTTCCTCATCAGCATTGCAGGCTCGCAGAGTATGGATAGAGAGGTGCCTGACCTGGGTCTTGAACATTTGTCGAGATATCATTGATACTAGTCTTCTTTGCCGAGAAAAGAACGCTAGGCTAGGGGGTGTTCTTGATGGAAGCCAAGGGTAGTTGGAGCTGTTGAGCTATGATTGGTCAGTTGAAAAGGAGCAAAGGCCGAGCCAATGAGAAGAGACGGACGGTTTGGCAGTCGAACAAGGCAGGGCCATGGTGCAACACTTACCCATGGCAAGACCCCTACCCTTCCTGGATATCAATCTACCTTAGGGTCATGAAAGAGTACGTACCTACTCCGTTCCTTCCCCCCCCCCCTGACCCTTCCTCCCCGTCCTCCACTCCTCCTTCCCTACACCCATGGATGATGGACCATGGCAGCTGCCTTACCTAAGGTAACTTCAAACCCTTTGAGATCGTGGCTTCCTTGCTCGATTCCAACGACCTCAAGAGACCGCAAGCGCATGGAAAGGCCCGCATCCTCAACGGCAAACCCCCCTGGTCCTCTTCATTACTCGCTTACTGCACCCCCCTCCAGAGTCCCCTCCAACACTCTCGCATCGAACAAGTCACAACACCAAGCCCAAAGCAACGACCATCCATCTCAACGTGGTCTACGCTAGACTACACTACACTACCAGGCAGACGTGACCACTGACAACCGATACCTACGTTGTCAGATTGTTTGGTCTCACCTCACTCGGCGCCGCCTGCTGCCACTCCCGAGAAGAATACGCCGCTTCTGTTGCGACCTTCTGCTCCTTCGCCCTTTGCTTCCTGTCTAACCCCAACTCTCTTTTTCGCCACCGTCTACTGATGGGAATCGACCGTCGTGGCCGTGTCGTGGGTATACTCACTCCCATGGTTCCAACAACACAGCACACACGGCATGGCTCCATCGAATGCAAGTCGTATTACCCCGTCCTGCTGCGCCCATGACCATGTACATCTGGGACTTCCCGGGGCTCGGCCGCCTCCATTCACTCTAGATCCTCACTCCAGGGATTCAGAGTCAGGCCATTCCAGGTCACTTGATTCCCCCGTACGATTCCCAGGGAGAGCCATGGCGAGTTTTCCTATGACATCCCAAGTGTCAGTGTCGACGTCGGTCCTTCCCCGAGTGGACGTGTGTGTGTGTCGGTGGTCGGTTGGACGTCGGCATCTAATCTCGCGCGTGCTTGCTGCGCGGGTCCCTTGGAGTAGAACGGATATCCGCGCGTGAGCCGTGGACGATGAAGGAACGGATGGACGGAGAAAGCCATTGAGGCGTAGGCGTAGGCGTGTGTATCAAATACTTTCTCCCTTTGCGGAAAATACGTTGCTCTTTTCTCTCTTCTTTCGGTCTTGGAGATGCTGACATCTTTGTCTATATAAAGACTCGAGCCGTGCCCGGAGTGATGTGAGATTTTACTCGTATTAGTCACAATCAGCTCGCAGGAGCAAGATACATTGCAAACAAGAAACGTATCATGGCCAAGTCAGCGCCCTTCACTGTCCCTCAGGGCACCGGCGTCAAGTCGGAAACCTTCATCGTCGTTGGGGGAGGCATCTTTGGCCTCTCGACGATCCTCTGGCTCCGTAAATACAAGCCCGACTCCGGCATCGTTCTCATTGACCCTACCGCCCTCGCCAACCCCAAGGCAGCGTCCCACGATATTTCCAAGATTGGGAGGAATGACTACCCAAACCTACCTTATGCGAAGCTGGCCATCGAGGCCTTGAAGGTTTGGGAGACTGACTCCTTCTGGAACCCCTTCTTCCACCAAGTCGGCATGATCCGTGCTGAGCCTCATAACAACAAGGACAAGAATCACAACGACAAGGCTCGAGATGTCCATCGCACGCTCGGCCACGAGGCTGGTGCCAGATGGATGACCCCTGACGAGGTGCGAGCTGAGTGGTCTGCCTTCGCCACGGCCGACTTTGCAGGACTCGACCGGGTGAGGTATAACCCTCAGTGCGGCTGGTTCGAGGCGGCCAACGCCCTCGAAGCTGCTCGCCAGAGAGTTGTCGATGAAGGGGCTAAGCTCATCACGGCCGAGGTCACGAGCTTGCTATTCAACAGCGCTGGAGACTGCACCGGAGTTAGGCTAGACAACGGACACGAGGTCAAGGGCGTCGTGTTGCTCTGCACCGGTGCTCGTACCTCGTCGTTGCTCCTGGAGAGTGCCCCTGAGCGGAAGGAACTCCACGCTGGGGATAGAGTCGTTGCTACCGGCGCCGTGAGCTTCACTACCAGCGTTCAGGGGGCGCACAAGGACAAGTTTGAAGGCATTCCCGTGCTTAAGAACCGTCTTCCCTCGGTCAAAGGTAAGTCACTTCTACTGTTTTACAAGAACAGATATTGACGAGAGAGTAGGCGAGTCCATGTCCATGACTCCGGATGGAACGCTCAAGTTCAACTGTGATATGGCTTTCACATATCACCAGCTCCACGCCATGACCGGCAAGAACATGTCTCTAGCACCGTCGTCTCCAAGCCTCACTGAATGGACCGAAGACGGAGTTCCCGAGCGACTCAAGGAACAAGCTCGCAGGACCCTTAAAGGCCTTTATGGAGACGAAATGGAGGGCAAAGTGATTGAAAAGTACCGCGTCTGCTGGTAAGTCTCTCGTCTTTTCGTTTGCCGTCGTATCACCGTAAAACTCGGCCTGAGATATGCTTACACAGCCACACACAAAACAGGGACGCGACCACGCCTGGGCACGACTTTCTTATTTCCCCTCATTCCCGCTGCAAGAATCTCTACGTCGCGACGGGCGGCTCGTTCCACGCCTGGAAGTTCTTCCCCGTCATTGGCGAGTACGTCGTCAAGATGATGCACGGCAAGCTGGAGCCAGAGTACGCCGACATGTGGGCTTGGGACCGTAAGCCTGGGGGACAGGTTGCCAACGCCACGTATGATATCGAGGGGGATCTGGGGGAGTGGATGAAGGGCGACAAGGTCGAGTGCTAGATTCACTTGGCTTGACTTGATGGTTTTGACTGCCCAGGAAGACGGGCTGGATGATGATGTTGATGATGGTGGTGGTGATGGATACATACATGCATTGCTGGCGTTATTAGACGAGGTGCATCCTATGCACGGGGGACGCGGGCGGTGATGGGAAACTGCATTGGTATTCTTGCATCCGACACAGGCATCCGACGTATGGCATGGGGATACGCGGCATAACGCATGGGGGGCATCATGATGGGGATTACATCTGGGTATCATAGGCAGGCAGTAACAATGCGCGTTGATGTTTTGTTCTTCTTTTCTTATTGAGAGAGGTAGTGTTGTCGAGGTATCAGTACGTGGATCCTGGGCCGCCTCGAGCACACTATCTATCCGTATAGCTTGTTGATCAGTATCGGCATCCCGAAGCCGAAGGGTGATGAATCTGTGCCGAGGTGCAGTGGCCAAAGTTTTCGGATGTGCCGAGGGGAGGGAGGTGAGGTGAGGTGAGTGGTTAAGTCACTCTGCTTTTTCTGCTTGAAGGGTGCATGGGATGCTGTTCGCTAGCTTCGCATGTCAGAACCAACAACTGAGATACCTTTCTTTTCTTTCGTGTCCCGGTGGCTCGGTTGGTTGGAACTTGTACCCCCAAGATAAACCCTTTCTGGACATACTTGGGGGACACAAGAATGTCAGCCGTCTTGTATCATTGGACCGCTTAGAATGCTTCCTTGTGTTGGAGGGTGTTTTAAACTTGCATTTGCCTGCCCAGAAAAGTGTTAGATCACGATGTAATCGTCAGGGATTTGGGGGGGCTGGGCGTGGGTGCAGTTTTTTTTTTTTTTTAGTTTTTTTTTTTTGGGTAAACTGATCGTATGATGCGGGAGCGGGAGCAGACCACCTTTGCATTTATGATTTGCATCATCAGGGACTATTAAATTTCCATGGGGAAAACAGTCTGGAGCATCCAGATCTTCATCTGGGTCGTGGGGTGCAGTTCCGTAGTTGAATTAGGTGAGGTTAAGATAAGGTGACCTTGGGTACAGTTCAAGTCCGGATAGACGAGGATCTTTTGGTGTAGAGATATGAAAGCGCGGGTTCATGTACTGCAAAGGGGTTATGTCTCAGCAGATCCAATGCAGTGGAATAGTTATTGGTGTTTCTCTTCTTGTGTGGCGGTGTACCCCAGCTTGGCAGCTTCGCTCAATACGTCAAGTGATGGCTAGTACCCGCTGCGGGTGGTTGCAAAACTACAGTAGTCTAGAATCGTAACCTCGACATGTGTTGTTTACAATTTGTGTGAGCGTTTCGTGTTGTAAGATTGGAGAGATGCCACACATCCTGTCATCCCTTATTCCAGAATAGCAGCATCGTCGAGGTTGATCTTTAAACAACTTGGACTAGCCAGTGCGTGCTGAATTTCGATATGACTGAGATATGACGCAAAATGAGAAAGAGTAGAATTTGAAGCACCCGTGAAGTGCCCATGCTGTTTTTGGTTTTGAGCCTCGTCTTTATACCTAGTAACCCGCCAAATCCAAGGATATACCAATGTATATACATACCGTGACATGTAATGTCATTCTCTCGCTTCTCTCCCTTTCTTTCTCTTCTCGGTGCGACTCTCCAATAACTGACTAGTCGCATCGGCCCGATGGCTAAGGATGTTCTTTTTTGCAACCTCAAAGTGGCTTTTTTGGCCTTCTCTTGAGCGGCCTAGGTCTTCAACTCCTCCTCGGTCCTTTGTGCGACCTTTCGCCCTTGCTCGAAGCTCCAGCTGACGGGGGATTGCTAGAACCTACCAGTAGGCGGTGACTCAAACTTTCACGAAGCTGGCTCCACTGGACTGGAACCGACTACGAAAACGACAAACCGACCCGCCGACTACGACGACCCGTTCACGGCCAGCTTACCCTCCGTCTTTTCGAGATAATTGACCAGGGCCTCGATCGTGCACACCTTGAGCCCGAACCGCCTCGCAAATTCGATGCACTGCTCGCCCCTCATCATACCAGGGTCCTCGTGCACAGCCTGGCCCTCAACGGGGACACCATCATCGACAATCTCGCAAATCGCCGCGGCCTCCTTCTTCCCCGCCAACCTGCAAAAGTCAACCGCAGCCTCAGTGTGGCCCCTCCGCTCGCGCACACCGCCCTCGCGCGCGCGCAGAGGCAAGACGTGGCCCGGTCTCCGGAGGTCGTTGGGTCCCGAGGCCGGATTGGCGAGGACGCGGCAGGTCAAGGCGCGGTCGTGGGCGGAGATGCCCGTGGTCACGAGGGGATCGGCGGCGTCGACGGAGACGGCGTAGGCTGTGCCGCGGGGGTCCTCGTTTGTGGTGACCATGGGCGGGAGGTTGAGGGTTTGGAGGAGGGAGGGGGCGAGGGGCGCGCAGACGTAGCCTGAGGAGTGGCGGATCATGAAGCCCATTTGGGCTGTGGTGAGGGATTCGGCTGCGATGATGAGGTCTGCTTCGTTTTCGCGGGAGGGGTCGTCTAGGACGACGAGGAATTCTCCGTTGCCTGCGTTGTTTGACGAATCAGTGGATTGTGTCTATGACGCATTGGAAGGCGGACTCGGTGGATGCGCACGCGCGAGCGGAAGAGGGTTGCGGGAAGGGTAGGTTCTGCGGAAGTTCCGGGGTGAGGAATACTTACGGAATGCTTCAATGGCGTCCGGAATGGAGTCGAACTTTGACTCGTCTATTGTTGAGGAAGGCATTGCTGCGGCTGGTGTATGGAGAGGTCGAGAGGGGGTTGTTGTCGGTGGAAAGAAGAGAAGGTGAGAATGCCCGACGTAGAGGTGGTGGTTGCGGTTGCGGTTGCGGTCGAGGCTGAGGTTTCGCTCGTGACGGTGTGGTGGTGGTGGTAGTGGTGGACGGACGGGACGGAGGGGTGAGGGGGAGGGGTTGTTGTTCAATTGAAAAGCCCGATCCCCGCGCGCGCGTATGGAAGATGGCAGAAATTAGGTGCTAGCTTGGGGTTCTGCGGGCAAAGTTCGGTGGCCCAGGGGGTAAGGGGAGGAGCGGGTACGGGTCTCTCTTTATCGTCTTTTTCTTTTCCTTAGGTTTTCTTCAACAGGAACGCACCCGAGATTCCGTCATGCGGAAGGAGTGGAGGCAAAACGGGCGGAAGGTGATGGGGCTTTTGAATTCTGGGCCGGTTCCGGTTTATCTGATCCTGGAAGTTGGAGGATGATAGGATCTGGTAAGATGGTATAGTCTTAGGATGATTTTCAGATATTCATCAATTAACTCAATGTTGGACTTTAGGATACTCTTCAAATACCAGATTGCTAATTACAACGTGTTCAATAGAAGATGTCAACCCGCTATGTGGAGGATTGCCTTTATAAATGTGACATGTCGTCGGCCGGCGCCAAGCCGGCGCAAGGACGACAAAAATCAAAAACCAAAAAACCAAAAAAAAAAAAAAAAAAAGGTCCCGAGGATCGCTCGGCTTTGTTGGTTGACTCATGGGATTCGCCGGCCGACTTTTAGTCTGCACCTGTCATCCATGTGCTTGCGTGCGTGCAACTGCACTTTGGACCCTGGACATTTGTGGTGGGATGAGGAGGGGCTGAATGTTCCTGGCGCCGAATGCGCCGAGGAATCGGCCAGCGGGCATGACATCTCGGGCGGCGGTCGGGCTTTCAGAGTTCTGATGCGGAGCCACCATTCCTGGCACCTCGGAGAGTCTGTCCATTCAACTCATTCAGCCCATTGTTGCTCGACTTTCAAGCTGCGACTGGTGCGACCCGGAATCGTGTAGATTACATAAGGAACCGTCAGAATTACACATGGGCGCTGACAAAGCTTCCTAATAAGCACCCGCGCGCGGCCACGTTCTAGCCAAATGAGCCCATTTCCAGGCGGATTCATCTTGCAACTTTTAGCTGGCTTCCGCCAAGTTCGATTATTCTGGGCGGCTCTTCCGAAGGCCTGCATTTGAGCACAAATGAATCTCTGAATCCTGCGTGTGCTGCAATCCCAAGTCGTTGTTCCTGCTCTGCTCTGATACCTTACCTTACACGTGGATGATGCTCCCGGTCTTGACGGAATGTCGCACCTGCAGATAACGACGGGAGGTGCAGAATAGACCGGGGGGAGCTGCCGATTCGAGAGCACTCTGATTCGGTGACAGCGCCGAGGTCGCGGATAGATTCTCCAATTTATCCCACCCCCGGTGCCCCCAGCACGTCACAACTCTGCTTTGTCATCATTTTCTCCCTCGAAGCTCCAGATTCCCATCGAATTCTCCCGGCACATTCAAAACCCCCACACCACGATCAGTATCCACGACCACAAATCGCCATGGCCTCTTCTCGCTCGGCAAGAGCCGCCCTGCTGCGCGCGCTGCGGTGGACAGGTACAACTACTCAGCCAGCCTCCCGCGCGGCCGCGACGTCACTCCCCCTCCGGACGGGTTCCAGTCCTGCAGCAACAGCTACCGCCGCCGCGCCGCTCCAATTCCGCCGGCCGAGCTCGACCTCTTCCTCGTCCTCGACCTCGACGTACTCCTCCGTCTCCCCCGAAGAAGTCGAGCACTTCAACATCCTCGCCGCCGACTGGTGGGACCCCCACGGCTCCTCGCGCCTTCTGCACCTGATGAACCCGCTCCGTCACAACTTCATCCGCGACTGCCTCGCCAGCCAACCCGATCCGTCATCCACACCCACACGCTTTCTCGACGTCGGCTGCGGCGGCGGCATCTTCGCCGAGAGCGCGGCCCGGCTCCCCGATACTACAAAAGTCACGGCCGTGGACCCCACGCCCGGCGTGCTCGCCATCGCAAAGGGTCATGCCCGCCGTGATCCGGCGCTGAGGGGCAAGTTGGAGTACAAGGCCGCCACAATCGAGACACTGCCGGTCCCGACCAAGGCGGAAGATTGTTATGACGTGGTGTCGGTATTCGAGGTTGTCGAGCACGTGTCTTCGCCGGCTGAGTTCCTCGATCGCTGCGCGCCGTTTGTGAGGCCTGGCGGGTGGCTTATTGGGAGCACCATTGCGCGGACGTGGACGAGCTGGTTCACGACGAACCTGATTGCCGAGGATATTTTGGGCATTGTACCCAAGGGCACACACGATTGGCGCAAGTACATCAATGACGACGAGCTCAAGGGTATGTTCATGGGGAAGGGATGGGAGATGCCGCGAGTAATGGGGGTTGTGTATGTGCCTGGGCTCGGATGGAAGGAGGTCAAGGGCAGCGAGAAGGTTGGCAACTACTTTTTCGGCGTGAGGCGGGCGGCGTGAAATTGTTCACCTGCAATGTACGAAAAGAGGTTTGCGTGTGTAAAAGTAAATGTATACTAACGGGCACTGGTGATACCCCCTTACCTAGAACTGGCTGTATGGGGCGAATGGACCACTTCAAAAGACCGCATCTAATGCGCGGCAGGTTCCAAAGCACATGCTTGTTCGTGCGGGTATGAGAGTTGCGGCTGACGAGGAGTCACGTTGATGGACTGCTGAGTGATGGCCGGTGCTACAAGTCAAAGTTACGGGTGGTAATGTATTGGTCTCTTTTGAGGTTCGAGACTGTGGTGGCCGCTGAACATCGTGTCAGCATTCATCAGATGTCAGATGAAGGCGTTTGACCACGAGCTGGTAGCCAGGGATCAGTCAGTCTCCTTAGTGCATCACGAACTGGGTCGTTTTAGTTGCTCCTATGAGGCTCATTCGTCATTCACACATGGATCTTTGACCTATTCCTGCTTCATCCGCGTGATGTCATGGGAGCTAGACTGTACAGTTGCAACTACCATTTAGAGAAGCACGTGAAATCCTGGACCTTACAATTGCAACTGTAAGGTAGTCTCGGTTAGTGGGTCTTACAATGGCCAGGAGAGCAAGTGCAGCATCTCCGTCTCGATGTCGTATGCGTAAGTAGCGAAGGAGCCTGCCCAATCAAACCTGGCTCAAATGAAATAAGACTATGCTTATCTGCCGCATAGAAACGATGGCGGAACCCCGTCTCTCTTTCTCCTAGGAGACCCAAAACATGTCTCCCCACGTATTGTTCCATATCCTCATTCGTTGGTGGTTTCGGGAGACTAAGGCAGAAGAGGGTGGTGTCTCTTTCTCCGCGGCGCAACGAGAGCCGCCCGCTGTGGGTCATAATGCGGCACTTCTGATTCGTCTCTTATTCTCTTATCATCCGATGGTCTCCCACCACGTTATCGAGTCACTCGACTTGAAGGCCGTACAATTGCTCAATGGTAATACCTACCCGTGCCACCACAAAGTACTTTGACCCCAAACTCTATGGAATCCAAACCGTGGAGATAGTCAATCAGATGTCATCGTCTCAGCTCTGCGACCAATCAGCGCTCGTCGCTCTTGGGCACCTCTGGTTGCTCGTCCGTCTCGCCGGAGATGCTGATCCCAGCGGATCAAGCTTGCACTGACTTCATTGTGCGCCGAGGGAGAATGATGCGTCTTTTATGATGGCCTAATGAACTCGACGACCGCTGCTACTCGCTTCAGTAGGGAGTCTCTACTGTTTCCTCGTTTTCTCCTTTCGATTCTCCTCCGCTCTCCGAGTGTACTCTTCCTGGTTATCGTGTCTCGTTGGTGATCTGCATCTTTAACATGGCGGAACGAAAGAGACTCGTCGTTGTCGGCCTGGGAATGGTCGGCATCGCCTTCATGTGAGTGATGCGAGCCACTACGTGGTGTGATCTACTAACTAACTGTTCCAAGTGAGAAGATGCTGAAATTAGACGCCCGCGCAAACGAGTACAGCATCACGGTTCTAGGAGAGGAACCTCACCTTGCCTATAACCGCGTTGGCCTGACGAGCTTCTTTGACCACCGCAAAGTCGAGAATCTCTACCTCAACCCAGAAGAATGGGTATGTGCAGACGTCATCCATCCTTATACTGGTTTCTTTTGCTGATTCCTTGACTAGTATCATAGCACACCTCAAGGCTCTTTGGGATACCATGTCAACACCAGAGTCACTGACATTGACTCCCGAGCCAAAACGGTCACCTGCTCGAATGGAGAGGTCGTACCGTACGACATTCTAGTCATCGCCACCGGCTCAGATGCCGTCCTTCCCAAGCACACACCCGGGCACGACGCAACAGGCGTATTCGTGTACCGGACGATAGACGACCTTATCAACCTCATCGCGTTTGCCGCTCAAAGGAAAGGCACCGTGGGAGCGGTCGTCGGTGGTGGTCTCCTCGGTTTGGAGGCTGCCAAGGCAATGATGGATTTGGACTGCTTCGACAAGGTGAAGCTGATTGAGAGGAACCGGTGGGTGCTGAGCCGACAACTAGACAACGACGCCGGAATCATGGTCGTGGACCAGGTCAGAGACCTCGGCCTCGATGTGCTCCTCAGCAAGCGTGTGGGCAAGATCGAGGTGACGAGCGACAACCATGTTCAGAGTGTCGTCTTTGAGGACGGTGAGCGTATGGACTGCTCCACTATATGTTTCGCCATTGGTGTACGGCCACGAGACGATCTGGCGAGGAGAGCAGGCATCAAGTGTGCTGACCGTGGCGGCGGCATCGTTGTTGGGGATGATTTAAGCACCAGCACACCAGACATCTACGCCATTGGGGAGTGTGCAAGCTGGCAAAGTCAGGCATTTGGCTTGATTGCTCCCGGAGTCGAGATGGCCGACGTTCTTTCTTTCAACCTCACACAAGCCAAGCTACACCAGCCCCGGTTATTCAAGAGACCCGACCTGAGCACAAAACTGAAGCTTCTGGGTGTCGATGTTGCCAGCTTTGGCGACTTCTTCGCCGACAGAGATGGCCCGCAATATCTGCCTCCCAAAGTGGCAAGGAAAGCAAAAAAGCACGACGAGCAGAGCACCCTCAAGACCTTGACAAACGGCCTCCCACCGGCCCCTGTCAAGGCCCTCACATACCGCGATCCGTTCCAGAACGTGTACAAGAAGTATATCTTCACCGAGGACGGCAAGTACCTGCTGGGTGGCATGATGATTGGCGATACAAAAGACTACATCAAGCTAGTACCCATGGTCAAGAACATGAAGGAGCTGGACATGCCGCCCAGCCAACTCATCCTCGGCGCGAAAAAGGAGGGCGAAGACGACGGGGACGACTTGACAGACGACACCCAGATCTGCTCATGCCACAACGTGACCAAAGGCGATGTGGTCAACAACGTCAAGGACGGGACCTGCAAGACGCTCGGCGAAGTCAAGGCGTGCACCAAAGCCGGCACAGGCTGCGGCGGCTGCATGCCCCTCGTGACGACAATCTTCAACAAGACCATGCTGTCCATGGGCAACGAGGTCAAGAACTACCTGTGCGCCCACTTCAACTACTCCCGCGCCGACCTGTACAACATCATCCTCGTTAAGAAGCTGCAGACATTTGAGGATGTCATGCGTGAGGCCGGCAACGACCGGACCTCGCTCGGCTGCGAGGCGTGCAAGCCCACCATGGGCAGTATCTTTGCCTCTTTATGGAACCGTCACGTCATGGACAAGCCCATGCACGGTCTTCAGGAGACCAACGACCGCTTTCTCGGCAACATCCAGCGCAACGGCACATACAGCGTCGTCCCGCGCGTGTCTGCCGGGGAGATCACTCCCGACAAGCTCATCGCCATTGGTAACGTGGCGTCCAAGTACAAGCTGTACACGAAAATCACTGGCGGACAGCGCATCGACATGTTTGGTGCAAAGAAGCAGGATCTCTTGGACATTTGGCGGATGCTGGTCGAGGCCGGCATGGAGTCCGGGCACGCGTACGCAAAGTCGCTGCGGACTGTCAAGAGCTGCGTGGGTACGACGTGGTGCCGGTACGGCGTCGGCGACAGCGTGGGCATGGCGGTGCGGTTGGAGGAGCGATATAAAAGTATTCGCGCACCGCACAAGATCAAGGGCGGCGTCAGCGGGTGTGTCCGCGAGTGTGCCGAGGCGCAAAACAAAGAGTGCGTTGACTGAAAACCCTCATTCTCCAATCAAGAACCTGCTAACTTGTTACCTCAGCTTCGGTCTCATTGCCACAGACAAGGGCTTCAACATCTTCGTGGCCGGCAACGGCGGCGCCAAGCCAAAGCACTCTGAGCTGTTGGCCAAAGATGTCCCACCCACCGAGGTCATCCCCATCATCGATCGCTACCTCATGTTCTACATCCGCACCGCCGACAGACTCCAACGCACTGCGCGTTGGCTCGAGAACCTCCCCGGGGGCATCAAATACCTTCAAGAAGTCGTTCTGGAAGATAAGCTCGGCATCTGCGCCTCGCTCGAGGCCCAGATGCAGGAGCTCGTCGACAGCTTCTTTGACGAGTGGGCCGAGGCCATCAAGAACCCGGTCATTGCCGCGAAATTCAAGCAGTTTGACAACACGGAGGAGACGCTCGTGAATATGGAGGTCGAGCTCGACCGCGACCAGCCGCGGCCGGTATCCTGGGCGCCTGACTCCGCAAAGGAGGACTTCAAGGGGTTGAAGGAGAGGTGGAGTAGTACAACCTGGCAGCCCATGTTACCGGCGAGTCACTTTTTCGGGGCGGACGATACGCCTAATGGCATCTCGGCGACGGTGAAGCGCGGGGATACGCAGCTTTCTGTGTGGCGGGTGAGGGGGCGGTATTATGCCACGCAGCAGATGTGTCCTCACAAGAGGCAGTTTGTGCTGTCAGACGGGCTTATCGGCGAGGAGCCTGGCGCCGCGGAGACGTGCGATGATGCGAAGAAGCCCGACTCCGGGTGTAATGGCGGCCCTGACACCAAAGGTAGCAGCGGCGGTAACGAGGCAAAGAAGCGGCCGGCTCCGTGGGTCTCCTGCCCGTACCACAAGCGCAACTTTGACCTCGCGGACGGGAGCTGCAAGAACGACGAGGAGGTGAGCATCGCGACGTTTGCCGTAGAGGAGCGTGCGGGCGACGGGATGGTGTACCTTAAGCTGCCGCCCGTTGAGGAGCTTGATGCGGCGCTGGGGACGAAGAAGTGGATGGTGAAGAAGGGGGAGGCCGGGGCGGCGCCATTTGAGGCGCTGGATAAGAAGATTCATTTCAAGGGCCACCGGGCCAAGAGGCCTGGTGTCAAGCCGATGGGGGCTTTGGGTATGGAGAAGGCGAGGACGATGGTTGTTGGTGGTGGGGGTGGGTGCGGGAGCGCGCCGGACTGGTAATGACTTACTTGTGATGGACGCTGTGGGTTTATGGATGAGTTTTGCTATCCGGGAGGCGATCCACTTATTGTTGGATATCGACCAATAAGAGCGTCGCTACGACCCCAAGCCACCGGACGCTTAAGTAAGCATTCACCAGTCGCAATTAACGGTCGCAATTGACGATTTACGTAAGCAATTAACGGTCGCGGTGAAGTGAAGTACGTACTGAGATCGGCGATCTCATTGGCCAGCGGCCATAATAAGTGGATCACCTCCCGGACAGCCAGAAACCACCTCCCGGATAGCAAAACTCTTATGGATACGGCGTTTGCTCTTCGACAGATGGGAGAAGATGGGGCATAGATGCATGGGACGGTGCTTTGGTATGACTGATTACAGAGGCAAACATGAGCGATTTTGACCTTGAAGAAAACGTATTGGTGATTAAGACTCGTGCCCTCCTATTTTAGATGGTTTAATACTACACATTTTCACACTCTGGAATATGAATCTCTCCATCCAGATTAGGTGCCTCTGTCCGTCTCCCTATCCGTACCCTTGGCTCCACATCGGTGGACGGGGCACGGAGCAGCTGGCACGCGGCGTGAAAGTGGGACCGGTCGATATCCGGGCAGACCTCTCCGGCGCCGTCCTCTCATCTTCCGTCTCAGGCAAAGTGGTATTCAGACGATAATCCGACTACAAATTTGAACAATGTGACGATAATCCACACCCAATTGACTGCTCGATTCAGGCTGCACTGGACATTTCGTCAATCTACTAGGTAGCTGGTCCAGGGACAGAAGAGAGCGGACCGGGGAAAGTTCGGAAGCGATTTCCATGGGAACGCTGCATCTCCACTTCACTTCATTATCACGCTTGCCACTTTCATTCTCATCCATCTCATCTACCAACTTTTTAATCTCATCACTGCGGAACGTCTAGACATCCAAGACGGCTCAGTAACCTCCCAGACCTATTCTCTACCCTCGTCCACGACTCAGTTTCACCACCATTCACAACCCCGCCAAAAAATGGTTCATCACGACCCCAACGCCAACCACCCCGTCGGCCTCCTCATCGAGCCAAACTCGGACGGCTATGTCGTCCGCCGCTTCCCCCACGACCACACAGATCTCTACGGCGAGGACCCAACCGATCTAGAACTCCCCGGCTCCCACGGCCCCTTCAACCTCGTCCACGTACGCTGCCACAATGCCCTCAGAACGACCACCATGGGCAGCACCAACGTCACCGTGCGCACCATCCAATTCGGAGATGACGACGACGCGCTCGAGGCGGCACTCGCTCACCACACAGACTCCCTCGTCATCGCCGTCCACGGCGCCTGCCCGCCCCAAAACAGCCCAGACCAGCCGCCCACCAGATCCGCCGTCGGCGTCCACCTCGGCCCCGGCAACCCCCTCAACCGCGCCTGCCGCATCCCCGACGCCAAAGACCGGGGCCAAGTCATGAAGGATACCGACGGCAGCGACGGCCGCAACCGTCCGCAGCACACGCAGCAGCGCGCGGATCTCTACGCCGCCATTGCGGGGCTCATGGAGGCGACCACGATTGCCACACGGGGCCTGCCCGCCCGCGGGATGCGGTCGCAGCCAAAGCCGTTCAAGTTACACCACGTCGTCGTCAAGAGTGACTCGGCGTACGTCGTCGAGGGCGTCGCGGGCGGCAGGAACGGGGAGCCGCCGCACATGAACAAGTGGCTTGCCAACGGGTGGAAGAACACAAAGGGCGAAAAGGTCAAGAACGAGGATCTGTGGGATAATTTGATGCTCACCATGATGTCACTGGGTCAGGTGGGCGTAGCGGTGGAGTTTTGGCAGGTGCCCAAGAAGGAGAATAAGGAGGCCGACAAGCTTGCGAAGCTTGGGCTCGAGCAGGAGGTTAACTTCTTTGACGAGAAGAGTGTCTTTGGCAAGGAGGATCACAGCAAGAAGCCGGATGCTGTCGGTGATCAGTTGGTTGCGATGGAATGATGATTACACTTGCAAGTTGATGGGACTAGATTTGGAAAATTTGTGGCGCAGAAAAGGCGGGTTGGATAACCATTGACTTAGATCATATTAGAGTATTCAGTGCCGGAAAGCAGTAGAATTGCTTCCGGTGAGCGGGAGGACCTCAATCACAGGCGTCTCGAAAATCTCCCAGTTATCCGACGCCTTGGGGTTACCAAAGGCCTTCAAAGCCGCGATACGCCACCTAGTCCGTGAGCGTCAGTCTCTGTGGCCACAAGGAGTGTAATAAACTTTGGATGAAAGACGACTTACTTATACTTTCCAGGCTTAATCTGGCTTCCGTCAGCCAGCTTGCCGAGCCACCACGACTCGTAGGGCGAGTCGCGAGACTGGTCCTGCAGAGGGTACGAGAAGGTGTTGTTCACGCTGTCGGTGGCCGGGTCGAAGACGGGGTAGTTGACACTATTGTAGACGTCGAAGCTGGCGACGGAGCCGACGTACTTGTTCTCGCCGACGACGGGAGGGTATACCCATTCGCGTTCTTGGTAGGTGGGTTCGTAGACCTACAGAGAATTCAGGGTCAGTAATCTTCGAGGCTTTGGGAGGAGGTGCAGTGCTTGCTTACATCCCAGCGAACCTGGCGGGAGCCCCAGGTCAAAGCGACTTGGAGTCTGACAAAGTCTTGCTTGGCGAGGGAGAGGTCAAAGGTGAAGCTATTGGGGGGGGGGAGGTAAGTCTGTTGTCTCCTTTAGTTGTATACTTGGAAACGTACCTAGACTTCTCGGAGAGCAGCGTCCGATTGACACCAGACGAGACACGGGGGTATCCGTAGGAAGTGTAGAACATATCAGCAATATCATGCTTGATGCTGCCGCCGACACCTTTGAACGCTTGTTAGAGAAGGTCTCGTTCAGGGGAAGGAAGCCAAGTCATACCGTAGTAGGGCACCGAGAGCACATCGCCAGCGCTCGATCCAATGAGGATCTTGCCGCTGAAGACGGGGAGTCTCGAAGCATTGAGACCTTGCGGAATGTCAAAGGAGAACCTGCGTCTTCACGTTAGCCACGACTCTCTACATTCAGCATTCAAGAGGAAAACTCACTTTGCAGTCCTCGTCTGCCCAGGCCCAACCTTGAAACCGCCCGCCGGCAACCCAACAACAGCCGCAATCTTGACCGGCTCAATCTCAACAAGATCCTTAATCCGCGGCACTGCCAAGATCCCCGCATCAGCAGCCTCAGCAGTCCAATACGCCTCAAACCCAGCAGCATCCTGCACCGTAAAGATATACTCCAGCTCCGTCGGACCGGTATTCGTGACATCCACCTGGTGGTACCGCGAGAAGTGGTGCGTGTCGTTCAAAGCAAATTTCGTCTCCCCGGACAACTGCGAGGTAGCGTTCAACACGGAAACGGCATCAATCAACCCGCTACCGACCTGGATCGGCGGCGCCCAGAACCCGAAATCCTTGGTCGTGCCATCGGACCAGGGAATCGCCCTTCCCGAGGCCACGATCCGCGCGTGCAGCGTTTTCGCGAAACCCGCCCCGTGGAGGGAGCGGCCGCCGTGCGCGGAAATATACAGCGCCGCGACGCCGGCAACGTACGGACACGCCATGGACGTGCCGGACAAGTCGCGGTAGCGGTGCCCGATGTACGGCGCAAAGATGCGTCCCCCCGGCGCCGTGACGTCGGGCTTGAGCTCCAGGTCAAAGGTGCCGCCCCACGAGGTGAACTGCGAGGGTGTCCCGCCGCCGGCGTTGTACATGGCGACGTAGTTGCTGCTCTGGTCCAGGGAAAAGTCGGCCGTGACGTTGCCGCCGGCGATGACCGTCTTGACAATGGCCTCGCCTGCGTCCTTGGACAGGAGGCCCCATTTGCTCTGCGCCCAGCCGAAGCCCGAGAAGCCGACGACGGGCCTGTCGGTGAGGTAGAAGAGCATGAACCGCGCGCCGCGCTCCTGGACCCATCGCTGCCTGACAGAATCCTGGCACCCTTCGTCAAATCGCACGAGCGGGATGGTATTCGTGAAGTTTAGACCCTCGGGGAGGGGCGAGCAGGCGTCGTTCTCAACGCTGATGTTGAGCGTGACGGGGACGATGGGCCACCCCAGAATCTCGGCGGGGAACAGCTCCTCAGCGGGACGGTAGCCGAGGATGGTGCGGTTGGACTGGCCGTCGAGGGTGAAGGTAGCCGCGAACTGGCAGGCCGAGACAATGGAGGCGTCGGCTGAGCCGATGGCGAGCACGTTTTTGCCGGCGGCACCGCTGCTGGGGAAGAAGGGTCCAACGTCGCCCGAGTTGCCGGCGGCGATGGTGACGACGACGCCCTGCTCTACGATGCGGGAGGCCACGAGGGCCCAGGCGTTGTCGGACCAGCCGCCGGTGGAGCCGACGGAGGCGGTGATGATGTCGACGCCGTCGTCGTAGGCGCGGAGGAAGGCTTCGATCAGGACTTCCTCGGCTGTGCCCTCCTGAAGTTGGTGTTAGAGATCAAGGGACGGGGAAGCCAGACTTGAGTAACTTACATTAGGGCCGAAGACCTTGTAAGAGTAGATTGTGGCTTCAGGGGCAACTCCAGTAAACCTATCGGCACGTTTAGCTGAGGTTTTCTCTCGTCAGGGTAGCTTTGGATGTTGTCTCATACTCGGAGCTCTTGCCAGCAATGATGCCAGCCACATGCGTTCCATGGCCAGCTTGATCCATGGGGTCCTCATTAGGTTGACGCTCCGCACCGGGGTAAGGCCAGTACGCTGCGGAAGTCAGTCCCGTCAAGCATTACCTAGCTCATCGTGTAGTCAAGAACTCACTATCATCACCAACAAAGTCATACCCGGCAGCAACCTTACACCCCTCACCAAAGCACCCACCAAGCTAGCCATCTCTCGTCAGTATCATGCTCCTCAACCACCAAACCCACTAGACACCAGACCAGAAAACTCACAGCAGGATGCGTATACTCCGTCCCCGTATCGACAACCCCAACCTTGACGCCCTTCCCAAAGATCCCCTGCTCATGGAGCTTATCCACCCCCGTCATCCAGTGAATAGAATAATTCAGCGCCCTCGCATCATCGCTGAAAGAGTCGCCCGCCACAACGGGAGCAAGCTGGATGCGCGTAGAATGCCACGCCTTCACGACGGGCAGGATCGCCTCGAGCGAGTCCGTGTTCTCGCTGTCCGACTCGACGGCGATGCCGTTGAAGAGAGCCGAGTCAAAGACCTTGAGGATCTTGCTGCCGGGGTTGTTGGTCTGGAGCTGCTGGACCACGGCATCCTTGTCGGCTCCCTATCAAGTGTTCATGGCGTGTTAGCATTATTTGTCCTTGGGTTGATATTCTCTTTGGGAGAAATGGGGATGACGAACCTGCTCGAGTTCGACAATGAACTTCTTGGGCGCGACCGCCGTGTCGTTGGAAGGACGAGCATCCTCATCGACGGCGCGCCGGGAAACTCGGGCTGTTCCCGCGCCGGCCAAGGCCAAGACGGAGACGAGGGCACTCGTGACACGCATGGTCGGTCAGTCAAAAAAACGAATATGTGAATCACAAACGAAAAGGATCGTTCAGAAAGACCCAGTCAGTCCCTGGCTCTCTCTCTCACTTCAGCACCCACGACATACTCGCCGGGTATTTCAGAGCCTTTATGAGAGTGAGTCGTTGGTGAGCCATCCCCCTCGCTCTCGCGTGATACCATGGGACCTGTTGACGATCTCGTATCGAGAATGTCGACACCACGACATGCCATGCAGCTCAGTATGAAGAACCCCGGTCTCCCGTCCTTATTCGACAGTCATCGCAGCGACATCTCCACCCCTGAGGCGACCTCATTGTGAAAGCCAAGCAACGGCGGTCCACATCTGGCCATGGCGTCCAACACCCAAATCCTACATATCATTCCGTGCCTTGCATCGCACCTGCCATCTTGAGCTTGGTAACCTAAACCTTCACTCTATTCCCGCGCATATCTTTAATTTTCGGTATGCACGCTAGGGACGCGCATCTTCGTATTCTGGAAATCCCGGGGGTAATAGTCAGAAGAACATCGGCCGGCGGGCTTCGGAGTCCGGTAGCTATTATCGCGAGAACCGCGCTTCGAATGCCAAGTTTCTTCGGATGAGTGGTGCCAGAGTTTGCAGCTTACTTCGGAATGATCCGTGGAGTATTATTAGGCGGTTGATGCTCGTATGAATGATGATTCCACCTACCCCGCGGCGGATAAACCTATGTGTCAATGAAGGTCAGTTGCAAGTAAGCTTGGAGGACAGCAGCGTAAATGGGTGTACGGATACTTACATGCTGGGACTGTGGAGGCGAGCAGATGGTTCAATCTGTAAGTCACGGTTCGGTCACAGCGAATGCAAAGGGGACGAAAGCGAAGTGATTGCAAGGTAGTATTCATGATTCGAGAATAAGTAAAAAAGAGCGAGGACATAGCGTGAGTCTAAATCTAAATGTTTTCCATGAGCGTTGTTGCCGTCAAAGATTGGTTTTCGCCTCCCAACCAGCCGCCTCTCCCTGTATCTCTCAACAAGACCAGAGAGAGACGTATATGTATTTTGTAAAGAGAATGAGAAATAACATGTAAAGAGACGGAGGCTTTTTTTGCCCCTCGTCCCTGTTTCCCCCCTTGGCTATGCGGGCGCTCGCGCGAGAGAGGCAATTCGTAGACCATGAACGAACGCTATTGTTCAAACGCGATAGTTATGTGTGTGTATATAAAAAGAAGTTATACATCATTATACAACCAAAATAGGCCCCATGTGTCGGAAGTGAACCGGACCCCTGACCCCAAGACCAAACGTGACAAGAGAGGCGCGGCGCGGCGCGGCGCTGTTTGTTTTGCGGCGCAAAGCGCATCGCGGCCCCCGGGTATTTGTGTTTTTTTTGTTTCGCATCGCAGTAATATTTGCATGATCTCTTTAAGGCTTTGATACCTGCTCCTTTCTGAAGAACTTGAAGAAGAGGATCGGGATCACCAGCTGGAAGCCCAGGCAGATCCAAAACCAGTAACTTGAGACTCC